TGAAACGCAGATGTAAGATGACCATTTACAAGACCGAGAGGAATGTACTTTCTCATTGGAAAAAAAGAGGGATTTGGATTTCTTTTTGCCCGCTAGTGCACTCACAACTGTCACTGCACTGTCCTTACACTGAAATAAAATCCCTGAAATACTGTAATTTGCCTTTATTATTTATTTTGTCACACTCGAGTGGGACATTACATCATAGTCTTTCTCTTCTGGTTGTCTTCAGCTCAGGTTTGGATTAAAAGTGAAGCTGGGTTTGCAGTTGCAGTTTGAAAATAAGCAGCAATCTCACTGTAGATTCCAACGACCATGAGAAATAATTGGAGCACTTTGAAAATTTGGTGAATCTGATTCATGAAGAAGCGATAATTAACAAAACCTGCTCGAATGCATTTCAAGGCTGTCAAGATTTGGGATAAAAAAACAACAAATGGAAAGAAAAAAAAGTGCACAAAAGACATCTTATCCAGATAAAGTTGAAGCGTACTAGTTTCATAAATAGTGCAAAGCTACTGATACGGTTAACACTCCTCTCTCTAATGCACCTCATTCTTTCGCATGAAATTTGGAAGCTGAGCGAAGCATCAGACCACAAGTCATCTGTCTTCCCAGAGCAACGCAGCACAGCTTCAGTCAGAATTTGGCTACCGAAGCCACGCATGCATTTTATATTGTTCCAATTGTGACGCCTTATCATTACATCATCCCTCGCCACCTCTCTTGATCACAATTATTTCTGTTTCAGGAAGTTGTGCATGACATCCGGTAGTCTGCATATAACCTTGCCAAGACATGAGCACAGTTCTTTGGAAACACATCAAACAGTTCCACTGAAATCCCCAAACTAGTGACAGAAACGCTCTATAAAAACGGTCACATCACCCAACAGCATCCAGTCATGCTTAGCGTATATCCAAAAATACTGCATTTCCTCATCGCTTTTTATGAGAATCTCCTGTGTTCCCAAGGTGAAAGGAAACACCTCATAGCTTCCATGTGTCACTTCCTACTCAGTAGCAAATTCCCACAAGTGAGACTGGAATTTCCAACGCAGCCAGTTGGTCAAACCGTCATGAACACAAAGGAAAAATGTTAAAGACGGATTGTCCTGAAGGATTCAATCAGCGGACTCAGAGCTCTTTATTGGGCTAAAGTGGTTGCATTTCTGCTAGAAAACAATGCTTTGTCCTCTGTGATGGTTCTTTTGCAATTTTCTTTGTTAATGAGTCAATCTCTGCGGTAAAAACACAAATAAAAAGTGTGTGGTAATGTTCCACAGTAATTTCCTGGTATGCCTCATTGGTTTCAGTTCCTACTTGCCGCAGTGATCCACCTCAGCATTAATCCTAAAGTTGGAGGTCAAATTACACGGTGGAAGGTAAGTTCTAAAGAACACATTGCTTCACATCTTTGCCAGCAAAATCCAAAACTGTGCTGTCATCCTCATCCAGCAATTTGACTCTGAAACTGGCTAATCATAGAAGTAACTGTGGGCCAGAAACGTCACATCACACAGTTTGCTTTACTCGACAGGAGAGAGGTCACGGTGCATATATCACTTCCGATGTGTCCGAGGAACAATTGACATTGTTATGTGCTCAACCTGTATCGGAATACAGAAGGAAACAAAGAAAAGAGAGCGTTTTGGTTTTTTATGCGGCCCCAGGGAGCGGATGTTTCCTCCTTTCATGCTCACAAGAATCCACCTGAGCGTGACGCTAAAGTGGCCCTGACTTGGTGGTTTCCAGCTGTCCAGGTTCACTTCATTAAATGAGACGCCAGAGAACATTTTTAGAGTTCAGTGAGGGAGAAAGGAAGGACTGGATAAGATGTTACAGTGATACAGAGGGAGGCAAAGAGGGGAGAATCAGGGAGAAGAGAGCACAAGACTCTCGTATTACCCACACGCAAAGCCCTGCTGTCATGCACGTCTGTGTTTGTATAAACTGTTGTAGCTGATGGTTGCTCTCCGGTTTGGTATTTCCTTGTGTTAATCAAAGCAAGACCTGAGCTGGTGCTGAAAGATTGTGGCGTGAAGGTCGAAGCAGAGTTCTGCTCATTTGCCTGACATGGAAGACTTGCTTGTTTACAGGCTACACTGTAAAAAGAAACCCGTAAAAAGAAACGGTAAATGTCTGGCAGCAAGGATGCCCAGAAAAAATACATAAAAAACTGATGGAATACTCTAAATTATAAAAAAACAAAACAAAAAAAAAAAAAACGTGAACAAAGCAGCAAATATCTGCAAAACAACACTTTTCATGTGGACATTATTTACGGTTTTTCAACATGTAAATTAATGCTTTCTTTCTGTGACTTTACTACATATTAGCAGTAGTTTAACAAAACAGGGACAATCTGTCAAATAAAATTTGAAAAAATTATTTATCATTTCTCAATCCTTAATCTACATTTCCCCCTAAATAACAGCAAATATCCGTAAATTCCATTTTTGCTGATTTAAATAGTATCATTTTCAGTTCAAACAATGTAAAAGAAGGAATTACCTTTGGACATTATTGACAGTTCTGGCCTGTTTTATACAGATTACTTGTTAATTTTTGTGCTTTTACAGTTTATTATTAGTAATTTAACAACAAGGGAAAATCTGTAAAATAAGTAAAACAACTATACCTTACTTTAAAATGAATGAATGAATGAATGAATAAATGAATAAATGAATAAATTAATACATAAATAAATAAAATCCTTGTGAGCATTATTGTGTCCTTGGACTTTTCACCAACAACAGTACTTTAGTAGTTTATCGCAAATCTTGCCCTACAGCCTGCAGCAAGAACGCACGGAAGCTGATATGTCCATGAAAGCACAGCAAGCAATAGCATACAGCAATGTATCCTGATAAACAATAGATGAGACACACTCGTGAAAAATGGAATTTCTTCTTCTTTGTCAAAGTGTATCCATCATGGTTACCTACCAAAGGAGACGATGGTAGACTGTCCTCAAAACATAAACTGTTTTTGAAGGCACTAAGATGACTGTTGGGTCCGTCTCAGTGAGAGTTTTTTTCTGGTGCTGCAGCATCATAGAGAAGTTAATGGCCACTACATCCCAGAATACTTAAAATGCAGAAGCACAGCGTATCTGCTGCCGACATCAGGAACCACAAGCAAACCTGATGATTTACATATGCAAAAGAAAGGGTGGGCGATCGGGCCAAAGCATTACATGGGGCAGAATCTCAAGTCTCCACAGAGATCTAGTTGAACTCGTGATCACATCAGTAGTTGTGTATATGACTGCCTGGATACAAAACCTGTCGCACTGACTTGAGGCAAAAGTCTTGTGAGTTGGCCTAGATTCATATTTCTACTGCTTTGATGCTTCTTTCAGGATGCTGGTTAGCTCAAAGCTATTCTTTGTCTCCTTTATACAAAAAAGTCATACCTTCCGGATGTTTATTGTGTCCAATGAACATGCCATTCATCTTCCTCTCCAGCTGGTCTCTCCAATTCCAATGTCTTGGAAAGCTACTGGCAACGGTAGTCGATGATCTCATCACTGGGAGACTTTATGGTGTCTTTGTTTCGTCACAGCACATGAACTAGTTCACCTGCTGCAGGTTCTGTTGGAGATGCTCTCCAGCTCCCACAGAACACAGCAGGGATGACTGTTGTCAGCCGCTGGGAAAGACGGTGGAGTTGGATCCATCCACGCAATTACATTTACTAGAGAGGATGATGAATGACATCAAGAACCAGCACAACAGCGACCCGCCCAGACAACATGAGATTGGACGTTCTGGGGCTGGATGGTCAGAAATGATACTCACAAATACAGCTTTAATGATGCAATCTGTTCAGTTCCCCTCTCCACCAGATCATAGGCCATCACTCGTAATTTGTCAGATCGCCCACCCAAGTGCGAAAGCTTCTTTTACTTTTGGAACTCAAAACAATACTTTCTTGTAAGATGTCAGCCTCTCATTGATGTGTGGATGGATAGATTTCATTTCGACTCTTTGTGTGCGACCCTTTTAGACATGGATTCTCTGCCACAGCGAGGGCTGAAAGACACACAAATCAGTCCTGACTCCACAACTACCACACAATACTTGACAAATGGACATCTCTCCCATGTCTGAGACACAATATGCTCATTGTCTGTCTGTTTCGGTCACACAATCTCCATGCTCACAGCATGTGTGTGCACACACACAACACACACGCACACACACACACCTCCTATGCTCTCCGTGCTCTGAAACCTGCTCGCCTGCCAGCAACGGAAAACTTGGAAAAGATCATCTGCTAGAGTTCATCATGCCTCGAATATCCTTTTGGCAGCTCATACGTTTGGAGAACAATCAAGATACTATTTCAAAACCATTCCAGCGCACAGTGGGACGCATTATCTCATTTATAATCATGTGAATGATAGTGTACATGCAAATTACAGATCCAGTGTTGTGCCTGTTTCCATAGATTCTGTTTACCAATAAACAGAGTGAAAAGCCTTGGGTCTCACACCCAGCAAACTGTAGTTTAAAAGTTATGTCCCCAGATGTGATGTAGCCTCTCTAGTGGCTAATGTGGTAGGTTGCAAAAGACTCTAATCCAGAGCAGTAAAGTCCAAACCGAGTTTAAATTAAATCACTCATGAGAAATGTGCTGCTGAAACACCACCATCAGTCACTTTGTCTTTTAAGGTGGTGGTACAAATGCTTGTCTGCATTTGACATGCATAGGTGCACCTGAGATTTATTGCTAGAGACAAAAAACAACAAATTTTATGAGTCGTGTAAAATAGAAGCACAAAAGCAAACCAAAGATTTCCCAACGTAACGGTACTGATAAGTTCTTTCCCTTATTTATGGGTAGGTGGTTGTTCCGGCAAGACCTGACTAAATTCTAAATAGTGGAACTTTTATTGGCAGAATAAGAAGTTTGGGCACAACATAACACAATGTGAGTTTCCATAGAAACACTTTTGAATTGTGCTTAGGGAAATCCAGAGTAAACAGTGTTTACCTGTGAGTCAGGCTCCATGTAAGGGCTTGTCTTCCCATCTTCACTAAGTGTTGGCGACCACACTCTCTCTCCTGATCCTGACCTGAAAGACAATACCCATGAGAGAAAGAGACAGTCAGATAAATCTTGTGCCACCTGAGCATTGAAGTGTGTCGTCATTTCTGCTGAGAAGTACGGGTTTTTCTTTGCTGACAGGTTTTTCCACAGAAGTATGACTACTTCTGAATGGGAATTTCTGAAAAGAAACTCCAAAAAAAAAGAAAAAGTGAAAGTAAACACTGTCCACTTCAATCCCCTTCAAATTACTTGTAAGCTGGGAAGGATTGTCGACTTTTGCCTCAAATGATGTCCCATAGCTGTTATCTAATATTAGCAGTGCAGGTCCCCTCTATGTGCTGCCAGAACACTCACAATGCTGCAGTTCATGAATCACACGCTGTCCTGTTACCTTCATATGAGAACCTATGTGTATGTGGATTTCTACATTTGGCAGGTTTCACGTTTGGAATAGGATAAAGCTACTTTCCGTACTCCTCCCATTTTGACACAGATAAAGTCATCAACACACCATAACTCCACTGCATGAACTATCACTGGAAAGGACACACTGCATTGTGAGCCATGGATTTTTAAAAAGTAGTGATAACTGAATTTCTAGTATCTGAGGCCTTTCCCCCTTCTGTTTAGATCACCAGTAATTGACTCCAGTTGCAAATACTTACAGAAAAATACATGACTTATTAACTCACTGCAATGACAAAATACATTACTTACAGCACTGCTGAATGAGCCTACTGTGTACGCATCAGCAAGGGTCCTCATAATTTATTTACTCCTTTTAAAAGGAATGAAATAAAATGCTTTGGTGAAACCACGGGTACGCAACTCAATTTCTCAGGCTGATAAAAGAGTGTGATTCATTCCTATTGGCATGCTCACTTGCATTACTATTTCACTTTCAAGTTTACACACTGAAGCAGTGTCATATAAAAGATGGAAAGGGGAATTCTCTGGTTCATCTGGCTTTTGTTGCCATAGCGTTGGCTGTGAAATGGGAAAGCATCCAGCTTCCAAAAGGGTAACACCAGGACACCATGCAGAAGGACAGCATGTGTGTGTGTGTGTGTAAGAGAGCTTTTCTTCACCCTCCTACCCTCTATTCATCCACACCTCCATCCACAGAAACATGAAAGCTATTAAACATGACTTCATGCATGAGTTGACCCCACAGAGGGGAGAGTCGATGCCTAAAGAGGTGAGGTCACTGAGGCTGCTGGCACGGTATTGGCTGAGCTGAGGCAATGCTTCAGATATGAACCACGGAGGTGTTGCTATCAAGGAAGCTCTTATGAGGCGCCGAGTGTCTGGCGGATGAGCAACAGCTACTGCGTAGGATGTAAACCACCCCCCCTTCTTCCCTTCCCCTCCACCAATTCATCCACCATTCAGGGACAGACAGCCTTCATGTTTTCAGATTGTTTGGTTGCAATGGTTACCGCACAAACAGCCTATTGAGTGAAAGTTCAGTGTGAAGAGGCCCATTTGCATTGACATTTTGCAAGTGCAAGACAGAAACACGGAATTTACCGTCCATCCATAATAATGGAGTTTTGAAGGCGGGGGCGTGAGTGGAAACTGTGAGAGACAGATCACTTTGGGATTTACAGCGTCACACTACGTTAGCGCTCATTAGACTGAGGTTCAGTCTGAAGGAGCATGTCATTTATCTATTAAAAATGTTTTTTTTAAAAAAAACTTGAAATGCAACTAATCCACAGCTGAACTTTGGACTGTTATTTCAGTTAGTAGGCTTTATCCTTGAACTGAATGTTATCTCTCAGTCTAAATATTGAAAAAAAAAAACAAGGACAAACACTAGTTTCACCTTCATGCCAGATTGGAAACTGCTTTGGCGTATCTGAAATGTAACGTAACATAAATAGCCACAGCAGAAAGAAACAGTCTGTTGCACACAAGTTTGATTAAGGACAATGGATTGTATTGTTATTTTTTTGTTTCACTTCCAGCATCGGCTTCGTCTGAGAGAGATCACCCAAGGGCGTACTGGAAAGATGTGGATCCTACTGCTGCTGCTAAACATTTGTTAACCTGCTGATTGTCACTACAACCCAGGTTCTCTTTCCACTACATCTGTGTCTGTCAAAGAACAAATTCCACCTAGGAAAACCTGCCTGGAAATACCATTTCAAATTTGCTGATAATGAGATCACCATGATCTGCAAGGCTATAGGAAACGAGACGTTTTTCATTAAAATCTAGTTTCAGACTGCACGTCTTTACTTCCATCTACCCCAACTAATGCCAAAGAATACTGTGATCGTCACGGCAGGTCGATGTATTCAGTGTCTTAATATAGAGTTACAAAGGACAGGGGTGAAAAGTATTTGATTCCTCCCCACCAGCTCCACTTCTTTTTCATAACCGTATACACCATTGTCAAACAAGGTTGAATTCAGCAAATCAAAAGACAATAAAAAGACAAACAGTGAGGAGACCACAAATTGGGAGCTAATTCTGAAATCCCCATTTTCATTTCAGAAAGTCTCATAATCTCCTGTATAGTTTCAACATAAAACAACCAATAAAAATGGGTTTATGAAAGAAGGAGATTTAAAAAAAAAAAAGGAAACATACAGAAAGTACAGCAGAATAAGACAGTCTCAGATCAACACAATGATTTTTCCCCATTCTTTCCTTTGGTCATATTTTCCCTTGCTTGACCTCCTCCTGCCAGGTTTCATTTCCTGATTGGGGAGATCTGGTTTTAGCAGCGGTGGATGAGTTTACTTTGGCTGCATGGGATCACCATGTTTTGAGGAGGAGCACGAGACAGAAAAACCAAGCGCCCTCAAATTAAGATGTGGGTGATCACTGATCATTTCAGGGTTCACTTAAGAGTCTTGCCTCATTGCATCGCTCTATCAAACTCCCCCAGAAAAAGGCCAGCTTTCAGTTCTCTCATACATCAGAAGCTACTGGAGCTGCTCCCGTGTTATTTTGCAACGTGAGAGTTTAAACGCTTTCACCTCAGGGAGTAAGAGAAGACGATCACCTTTTAAAGAGCAGTTATGGAGGTCTCAGTGGCAGACCTCCGGGTGTCGTTTGGAAAAATCCGCATCTGGGTGCCGACTAGATCAATGCAAGAGGGGAAAAGGGCGGGAAGATTGTCCTCTGTACCCTCAACCCTTTCTTTCAGCGACACACATCCTCTCAAACACCATTGATGTTGCATTCGTAACCACAAAAGAAGAGACTTTGAGAGAGCGTGAGAGGAATGACGAGATGAGGGGAGGCATCGCTGCTCGTAGTGGAGGGGCGTGTATGAGTTGGTTCCTTTGGAGGTTTCTTTTTTTGTTTTTGTCCCAGCTGGAGTCCTGTGCTCTTTTGGTCCCATGCAGCCTCGTTCATAATTCCTCAGCCGTGAGTCACAGGTCGCGGAGTCAAAGCGAGACAGCAGGGGCAAATCCTCCACGAAAGGATCTAACTCTGTGTCTTTTCTCTGCCGGTTTTTCCTCTGATTCTGTCCAAATCCTCGGCCTTATTTCTTGTTTTGGTTTGACTCTCCAGATGATGATCAGATTTATATTTTTCTCTGTGCTGGGCTCAGATATACACACATACTTCATGCATTATATACCCCCTAAAGACCTGATCCTAGCCTTATACCTAACTGCTGCAGATCTAACCTTACCTTCACGTAACCAAAGTATAAAACACTAAAAAAAGACACTGATGAAGAACATGAGGTAGGCCTGGAAGCTCTGAGATACCAGTAAGTGAACTTTTGGACCTATTTTGCTACTTTAATCAAGCACTGATGTTGTTGCATCTATTTTGCATGAAACTCCTATGGGAAACATAAGTATTAAAATACAACATGAAAAACATTTGTAGCTTTGCTTTAATGTTCTTCCATTGAAACCTTCTGCTGCCATACCAATAAAATGGAGATGAACAGAATTTCATTTGTGATGCTCTGTTGCTTCTGTATAAAGCAGTTCCAATGAAAACTCTTTATAGCGAAGTCTGTGGATTACTCTGCACAACCACAACTTTGAATGCTGCTGTTTTGGAAACGTCAATTTTCATTGTTTTGAAAAGCACAAATTAAATTCCATTCAGTCTCATTGAACTGAAGTGAAAGCCAAACCCCCAAGAAGCCAAAACTTAAATTAAATGCACGCTTATAAGACTGACAAATTACAGGAAAAAATCAACCCTAAGTGTCTTACTTAGGTGTTGAGCCACCACGTGTTGCCAGGACGGCTTCAATAAGCATTGGCATTGATGCTACAAATCCCTTGGACTCTACTGGAGGGATGGAACACCATTCTTCCAATAGATATTCCATCATTTGACGTTTTGATGATGATTGTGGCGAACACTATCCAAACACAGCGGTCCAAAATCATACTTTTTTAAAAATTATGTTGAGATCAGGTGAAGGCCAAAACAGATTGTTTTCATGCTCGTCAAACCATTCAGTGGCCCCTCGAGAAAAAGATGATCCATCAGAACAATTTTGCACTGATTTGCATTGACCATTACCTCAAAAGAGTCAAGTAGACCCAAAGCATGTCAGCAACTGTAGAACAGAGCCACCAGAGCCCATCACTGTAGGAATCGAGCATTCGCTCATGTGTTGAGAATATGGTCAAAATGAGTCATCTGACCACAACACTTTTCTACACTAATGTCTATGGTTTGAACTGAACTCTCAAATGTGCATTCATTTTTGTAATGAGAGGTTATTCACTGCCATTCTGCTATGTAATTGTCAATGGACAATGTGCTGACATGCTCTAATCATGTCTTGATTTGACACTGTCATTCACCTGAGGAGGACATCACCAAATGTGCACTGTTGACCACAAACTCCTACCCTATTTACCGATGTCTCTCCCATAGATCAAAATACAGATGTCACCTTAGACAATGTCTTTATGATTGAAGCGCCTGCCATCTGTGCCCTAAACATGACCCCTTGTTCAAAGCTACATGGATCTGCATTTGTTGTGTTTCTCCACCTAAAACTCTGTGCTATTTGGTGAACTGACCTTT